TAATTGATTGTTTATCTTTGTTTAAACACGGAGTAGTTTAGTGCCGAACATTATGGGACTGTGCTGGATCCCAGCAAGCTTTATCTCAAGTTTTTATATAATTGACGTTATTGCTAATCAAGTACCAGGATTTCGACTTGCATCGCAGTCGTCCTCATTTATCCACTACCAGATCACGCCAGGGTTGGGCATTGAACCATAGATCCAGGGTGCCGGGTTGTTTGATTTTTTCTCTGAAATAATCGATCCCCAATCGGAATAATCCGAGTGAGTTAATGTTGTCAATAAGCTCTGCCTCGCACCCAACCAGGGCATGCGCTTTTCCAGAGAATCTCGCCAGTCATACCGCCAGTCGTTAAATTTTTTCACCAAGGTTACGTTTGTTTGTTAATTGTTTTCACTCACAAAGCTAATAGAAAAAGATAAATTTAAAAAAAAATGCACCAAATGGTTACCAGAAATGATAAAAGGGACGGATCCAGATTTTTCTTAGGAGGGGATGCACCACTAAGTAATGGCGTAACTGACTGGTGACGTAAACAAATTTAATACACAATACCAGTTGTATCAGAAAGCCACAGGTCTTCTCGGGGGTGGGAGGAGGGAGGGGAGGGGGTGCTCCCCGTGCACCCCGCACCCTCCCCCTAGAAAGGCCCAGTCTAGCTATTACGATATGTCAATTTAATCAAAGTTATTTTCAGACCATTTAAAAGCTTAAAATTAATCAAAAGTTGTTCCCTGAGAGGTCCGCAAACCTTTATTCAGTGTTTGAGAAGAATTATGGGACATCATGTTTTCTTGGTGTGTCGCCACTGTCTGCATTGAGGAAGCCGCGCGCGCAATTAATGACGTTTCAACCAACCGATTAAAATTTGCAAACAGCCTAGGAATTAGACTTCCGTTTAAGTTACATCCTCTAAAAACCTCTCTCTCCCGTTATTTTCTCTTGTTAGTTATGAAAATCAGAAAGAAAAGCACTGAGTTACATATTACGATATACCGATACTCATGCTCATTGATTCAACACGAGTTGCAAGTAATTCGCAACTGATTACCAAAGTACAAGTCGGAAGAATGGGTGCGTAACGACTCTGGAACGACGCTAGGGTGACTGAACATTACTCAGTAGGTTGGTTGCATTGAATTATGGAAATGATTAACTCTCCTTACAAGTTATTGAAAGAAACCTTACTGTGAAAACAACCTTACTAAGGGCCTGTTTACTTGGTGGTGGGAATGGGGCCCCAGGTAGGTGAGGCAACCCGCTTGGGTGGGGTAAACAACCTGTTCATTTAATCTCAAATTTCAATTTATATGGACAGGCAGGTTTAACCCCAACTCCATGTAAACAGTCCCTAAGTGTCTAATTACCTGTATTTAATAGGAGCCGTCCAAACCCCGCCCCAGTGTCCTCTTGTGTTCGCTTCTAACCTATACTTGAATGTATTCGCGCCACTTAAGGCCTTAATTTGGTCCGCATGACCTAATATGGAGTAGTCTCGTGTTAGTGATGGTCTCGTTGGATTCTTGAATTTGACCTCGTTCTTGTCCCACCCATTTGAAACACTGGTGACTAACAAAGTGTACCCTCCTGGCGCTGACGTCATATCGCAGTAAACTGGCAAATACTCATAACCGTTTTTGCGAATCATGTAAATTCCATCTTCCAGTTGAGCCTTGATCCCTCCGCTTTTCATTTTAATCTCGTTGCACGATCTCCTGTGGAATTAATGAAGGAGGGTTTACCTTTTTTGACACAAGGAGCAGTATTCTTTCGTGTGTTTAATAAGTAGTTAAAATTAAAGAAAAAAATGATAAAAAAAAAAATAACTGAGATGGACTACAAAGGTGGGAAAAACGTCAGAAAATAGAATGTTTCATAACCATGGCCGTGGCGGTGACTGAATGATAATGACAATCATAGTAAAAATGTGATGGAGACAAGGTTATTAGTAATGATCCAAATAACGATGATTTAAAGAAAATTTCATAATCCCAAAGGAATGGCAACAGGGGCCGCCAATGTAGGAGCTGCTCGTAAGGTCTTTCCGACTTCGTTCTTTTAAATAATGGTGATTCATTTTTAAACATTGTTTTCCGGTTTGGGTAGCAAACCAATTGGCTTTCAGCTTCCGATCAGCTGCTACATGAAACAGGGGCTCTTCTTACAAATTCTTTCTTCTTTTCACTGAAAATTAAAAAGATCTCTTTCAGCCCCAGAGTGTCAATTCAGCCGTGCAGGCCAAAGTCTGATTCAGCCCTTCCTGGAGCCATTTGAACACAATTTAGGCCAAAAAAGCTCAATCAAAAGGCTATTCCAGCCCACGGTAGGGCTCATTTTAGCCCTGGGACCAAACCAGCCCTAGCTTATTGGACTGTATTGGCCCTGATTTAAGGGAGCCAAATTAGACCCAAAAATAGGACTATATTTTAATCACCGAAACGGCCCTGTTTTTAGGGCTGAAACAGGGCTTTCTGATTTAGAATGTTCTTTGAAATTAAACCTATAAAAACAATTTTTGGTCTATAACTAAAGCACCGATGTAGGTTATGTGATAATTATAACCCTATTCATGCAGATGTACCTACGTAGATCTATCAGGATAATTTCAACAAAAGTGATAAACGTTTTTTAAAAGGCACCTACATCTTACCAGGTCCCTTCACGCAACCACACTGTAATCACTTTAGTTCTTGTTCGATTGACTCCTTTTGTTGAATTAACTACAATCGCACCATTCAAGTCTGCGTCATCCACAGCGCTTGTCAATATTACCTTCCCCAAAGTTGTTAAATGCGGAATTTGTTTGCTTGATTTAGCCTGCTTGCTTGTATTCCAGTTTCCTTGCTGGTGTACATTTTCCACGCACGACTGTCCTAATCGCGGACTGGAAATAAACGAACAGCCAGCCTTTGTTGTCCAAACTCCTTCCCAGGGTTTTCGACTTTCTTCTTTAATACGATACTGCAATGAAGAAAAAAAGATAATTATAATAGGCCAAATTGCATGGGAAGAAAAAAGGGGCAATTATGATGATGAAGAAAACCGGTTAGATCAGACCAATGTCTCCGTATTATTTTTGTGGGGGCGAAGAAGGGTCATCACTTTGAATCCCGTCGGATGACTTTTTTCGCTGTCCGAGAGGCTCGTGACTTGGCGAAAATATCACCTTTCTTTCTTTGAGAAAAAAAAAAAAGAAAGAAAAAGAAAGACATTTCCTTTTAAATGGTGTTTCTGTCTTTTTCCCTAGATAGAAATAATTTACCAACTCGGAAATCAGAAAACCTCGCTGGTGATAGCATGAGTTATAACATGAGAGGGGCCCCAATAAGGTTGTTCAATCCCCTTATCCCGACGCAAATTTTCTCTAATTCCCGTAATTCCGATGGTTATTTTTAGCATCACGTACCCTGTGCGTACTTTCAATCCCGAAACTCACCCCTATTTTGCCTTAAAATCCCGAGTTCCGGCCCTCAAATAAGGCAAATCCCGAAAAACCTATTGTGGACCCTTACATGAGTTTCATCCTCTCACCTGGAAGTGTTTCATCTTTGTTATCTTATCTACTACTCCCAATATGGAGTAGTCAGAGGTCAATGATGGTCTTTCGGTGTTTCTGAACTTCACATTTTCCCTGGTCCATCCGCTATCGCTTGCACTGGTCAACACAAGCGTCCATGCTCCCCCATGTTCACTAAATTTGCAGAATGTCTGCACTCGTCGGTTACGAGGAAATATAGTGTAGATACCGTCTGTTAGCAGAAAAGAGTACAAAGGTAAATAAAAAGTACGAAAAATAAGTTCTTATATGAACCGGCACTCAACGCTTTCATGTTGGCTTGGGTCACTCCTCTCAATATGTTCAACTTGCATAAAAGAAGTGGTGGCAAGATTTCTGTTTAAGTCCATACATTTATTTGCATGTAGCAAATAGCTAATATTATTGTTTCCGAAATTAAACATGAATGCATAATTATTATTTCCGAAACATAAATGCATAATAAATGTATGGGGTTGTGCGTAACTTTCACCAAAATGGTCAGAAATTAAAAATGTAATCTTGCCTCAACTATTTTATGAGAACGAGTTGATTCAATACCATGACCATTACTCGCTGGGCTAATGTTACGCACCCAATCTCACAACTGTCAAGTCATACAAATTTTCCCTCTACTGTTAATTAAGTGCTATAAACTCCCCACGACTCTTGCGTCTCAAATTTCTAGATGGACGTTTCATTTCACGATACAAGGCTCGAAATAATGCATTCCAAGTCATGAGTAATACCGGTTAACCTGATCGGCGTTTTTTATAGCCGGCGTAGCAAGCGTTTCCAATCGAGTTCTTGCGCGAAAGTCCCAACTTTCTGGACGAACTCGCATGGAAAGGCTTGCTACGCAGGCTACGTTCTTTATCAAAAAGAGAGGATCCTAATAATTATTACTAAGAATTCCCTCATGTTGGCATACCTTTTGGGGGATGTACTCCCCTTAACTGAATGTCCATGCATGACCTCGGTAGACTGAATTGTTCTCTAACCCAATACCAGATGTTTACTGGGTGTTGCTCAAGATCATTACCATCTAACCAAGGTGCTGGGTAAAAAATTCTCGAGTTTGCTATGAACATATCAATCAAAAGAAAACAAAATCAATAGTTAGTATTGACAAGTTTTGAGTGCAGAAGATTGTTTCCAATCCTCGAAAACTCCACTACGCCTGCAAAGAAAGGAAGGCCAAAGGAACTTAAGTTTGATATTCCAGAGAAGTTGCTTATTGTAAACGCCAAGCGACGGGGTCATTTCTCTTTCTTGAACTAAAACACCTACGGCGTCATTCACTTACCAATCAAAGTTCCCCATTGGCGATCACCAGTAGCGTTGCGTGACGTCGTAAGCTTGGCGCCCGATATCCAGGGCATGCGCTTTTCTATTCCATAATCGTCATATTTCCATCTGTCAAATTTCTTCACCAAATCCACATTTGTCTGCTTGTTGTTTCTAGCAAGGAGAAGGTATAATCTCTGGGAGCCCGCCAGATTCCACCCCAACGACCTTTATGTGACAAAAATTTGTTTCATTAATATCCCCGCGCACGGACGACTTGAAGCGCTACCAGTTAACTCCACACCATGTCCTTGATGTCATCTGCCTTATACAAGATCGAGAAATCTCCGTTCAGCGTTGGTCGATTTTGGTTTCTTTTTCTGACGTCACTAGCTGTCCACGTGTTGGTGTGACTTGTAACCAATAGTGTCCACCCACCACCATCACGTGACATGTCGCAATAAGTGTCCACGTTTCCTTTACCGTCAGGATTGATCTTATACACTCCGTCCGGAAACTTGACACCAGTTTCCTTCCCAACAGAAAAGAGGTGCTGACAAGAATGAACCTCTAAAGCAATCAGAGATCGTAACGTAAAAATTCTTTCATCTATTCTTTGTGTCTGTACTAGAACACTTAGGATATTTTCCAGAACTGAAATAACATTAAAATGAGTATCGAACTGAAAAGTTTGAAAGTTTAATGGTCACAATTTATCACAATCGATTGAAATTATAGACTGGAATTCTCCTTTAAATCGTTAATCTGAAGCAGTTATTATATTAACAATTAAAAACGTTTCATATAGACAGTAAAAAAAATTTTTCAAAAAGTTTTTTTCTTTGTTACATACTGTTCTAAGAACATGTAAAAAGCAACGAACAAAAGAAGAAGATACAGAGGAAGAAACAGAAGAAGAAGAAATACATTGTCTCGAAACTGGAGACAATCTACTCGATAGATTGCCGAGAAGATCTTCCTCAAACTGCATGATTTCTTACCTGCCAGAATAGCAGTACTTTATTATGCATAATAAGTGATCATGTAACCTCTCACTATTGTTTACCTGGACATTTATCACTGTTACAGGCCTCTTTCTCTAATCTGTTCCCAACACAGTTTTGTCCTCCATTGGATGGTACTGGATTGTTACAAAAGCGATGCCTTTTACGCGTTCCTCCTCCACAAATTCGTGTACAGTTCGTCCATTCAGACCACTGACCCCACCCGCCTGAGCGAGCTTGTTTCGCTGAAATTTCCAAAATAAATAAATAAATAACATGAAACACTTCATGAGCCATAGATGCAAAAACGGTAAAATGTGCTCTCTTCTTTGAATTTTCTATTCGTTAACTGGACAATGAACCATGATCTTAAATAGGTGGCGGATTAGGTAGATTCTAATGATTGTCCCCAAAGCATCTATTCTGGTTAACTGTAAATAAAAGAGAGCTTTAGATCTGAGGACGAGAACGAGTACGAGTACGAGATTTACCTTAAAGTTTTCACGCGTGTTCTAAAAAAAGACACCTGGAAAGCTTCATTTTACTTTTTTTTTTAACCAAAAACGTTAGTGCGGATATTTATACTGAAAGAGTTTAAGCCCTTTCCCGGATGATAAAACTTCTTATATTTGATAACTTCTTTCCGGCACTACGACATTCTCGCCGCAACTCGTAGTAGAATGACGACGGCTATCACGTTTTCCCGCCAAAATGACGCTGGTTCGCGCGTGAGAAATACTCAGTATTTGGAAAATCTGGTACTCGCAGTCGTATTCGTCTTAGAATCTAAAGCTCTCTAGTATGTTTTGTAAATAGCATTTACCTGTACAGAAATTTAAGGTTCACGACTAAGGAGAAGTAAGAATGAATCAAGAACTAAATAAAATGTTTCTATAGTTGCTTAAACCAGCCGACGGTCAGAAACGAGCGCAATTTTGGCGTAAGAGGAGAACTTATCGTGACAAGAAGAGGGAAGAGGAAGATAAAGGTCCTCTTTACTTGCTTCGTTTTCATTTTAAGGCTGGAGTAGGGTTATGCGCTCCAACGGCACTCGCCCGGCGGATGGATTTTCGACCGGTTGAAAACTAATGTGCGCCGAAATTTTGACGCCTAACCATTCAAATTTCCGTGTGATCTGAGCGATGAATGTTGAGCGCCTTCCGTGTGAACGACGTGCCTGGTGATATTTTTCAGCCGGTCGAAAATTCGTCTGGTGCGGGCATGTGAACGTACTAGCCGAAATATTCCCTCAGTCATTTTTATTACCAGTGCGACAAAAGGTATCTGGATCGAAGTTCCCTTGACAATGACACTTCCCACTGTTAGTACAAACCTAAAGGAACAAGAATATAGTACATAGGTAACCAAATAATTATCCTTCAGTTTACACTGGACATACTAGCTAACAGGTTCTAGAAGCTACTACTTTCAGCAAGTCACCGGATTTTTAATACCATTTTGAGTGCGTTAATATGTTTATCTTAGGATTTTGGTATATGTTTTCTTTACTCCGCTCTGGTAATGACCCTTGTTCCTTTATATAAATTTCTTTTTTTTTTTTTGGCGCATACTTCATCGAATTTGGTGTATACCAGCTTTGGTTTTCTCAAGTTTATTTTAGAAATTTTTTTAGCCAATAACCTCATTTTGTTAAATTGAACGAAGATCTATGATGGCCGACCACGTTGGATTTTTGGCGTGATATTACTAGATCAAGAAACATTTCGACACTGCAAGCTGCAATTGTTGCATGGCCAAAATTTACGGGCATTTTCTTGCGGGTCAAACTTGTACTAACGTATGCGCACAGATTACATCGAATTCGAGGACCGCCTTAGTTGGTGTATGCCGCTTTTGCTACAATGGGTGTCAGGATTGAGGTCAGGAGGACCATGATGATATAAAACACAACGTAGTAACTAAAAGAAGGCCGCTGATCAAAAGTATTCTTCGAAGCGAGAAGGTGAGACATATTTCACACCAGTCGGTTGAGCTAGTTATGAGTCTTGGATATATTGTAGTTGGAGGAGAAAACTAGCCGGAGTCTTCGGTCATTTTGTGGTGGTAATGATGACCCAGTATTTGGACAGTTTTCTTTGAAAAGCGGACCCTTTAATCGTATCCAATTTGCGAATAACTTAATACGCGGCATACGATGTTGACTTAAAAGGAATGAACCTGGAAAAATTACATAACTGAAAGGAAAAACGGACAGTTGAAGTGAAGGACACCGACCTAAGGAAATGTTCATAATATGCGGGTTAGACAGCGAAAGGGGAGCTGAAATTCCTTAAAAACTGATGAGGATGTTTAAAGTCTGGTGCGTGCGAAGATATTATTTTAATTGATTCAGTGGGATTGAGGTTTCTCTGGCTGTTTTGTACCAGTGGGTTCCAACCTGGCAAATGCTTGAGGTAAGTGACGGACGGTTTTCTATCCTCAAGAATATTTTCGCCCAATATATTTCTCGTCTTCTTTAATATTTTTTTTCATGACATGTAGTTTATGTAGTTTCAGCCGCTTATTTTGCGACATACGGCAAGAATTGGCTCCCCAAGGGATCCCGGAAAAGTCTATTATCTACGCGAAAGTAATTATTCACAGTGAGATTGGTTTGATATTCCCTCGGGAAATTCAAATCAAGTGTGCCTATGATCATGCAAGTTCTGAGACGAGGGCCTAGAGAGGGGAACTTCAGATTTCAAGTTAAGGAGATAATCGAATAGGGGAAAAAACCAAAACCCAAAAAATCCCTAGGACTTCAAACAACCGTCCCCTGCCCCGCCCCCCCAAAAAAATATCCCTGGACCAAAATTAAACCCCCAAAATTCCCACGTGGAATCACTTCCACGCTTTAAAAATTTCCAGGAAGCAATTGTTAAATGATAAAACTCAAAGAATGGAAACATTAGAAATTGAATGTTTGTGTTTGTTTATTCGTCATACTATCTGAAGTTATCACGAATTTGCAGAAAAAAAAATATCCCTTATTAAATCAAACCACCAAAAAAAATACTTGCCAATTTTTCCTTTTTCCTACCACAAAAAAATCCCGGGAGAAAAAAATTCAAACCCCGAAAAACTCCATCGATCGTCCTCGTCACTTGAAATCCAGAGCACCCCTGCCCCAATGGGGACAAGGGCACGCAAGAATGCTTAATACCTTCTGGAGTCAGAAAAGCTAAAGGGAATACCTTTAACCTTTCAATTTTCGAAAAAAGTCGAAACTGTCTTTATTTCGGTCATCCGAGTAAGCCGCTGGCGCTAATGCAGGCTCCACATCAGGGATTTCTGGATAGCTTTGAATTACTCAGTAGGAGGATAAGCTTAAAGGTTATCCCCTTTGTTCTAATGAGACCAAACTAAAAGCCAGGTTTGAATAAACAAACAATCAAACAACAACAACAACAACAACAATAGCAGTTTATGGAAAACCTACCCCTTTTCCTGCACACTCTTTTCCGGCGATTCTTGGACATCGCTTTGAAGAAAGCTGATCCAAACCAACACACTGATTGGCTACGCAGATCTGCGAAATTTCTTTGTACATATGATTCGTTTTCATGAACTAAAGCTAAAACTATTGCTTTCTTCATCATAAACATGTTATCAAGATTTGAACTGGCACATCATCAAAAAGGGACTTTTTAAAAAAAATAACAGCAAAGACATGGAATTGTATCCTGGTCACGTGATTCATTTATTCCGCAAGTGGAACTTCAGCCTAATACGTCCCTGCTTGTTGTGACAAAACAAGTGATCTTCACCAATTCAACGACAACTTCCCTTTTTTGAAAGTAAAATCAGGACACTGTCGTTTTCAGTTTTTTGCATTACTTTCTTATTATAATATATACACATAAAACGTCTAGTGCTACACAACAAAGCCTCTACCTTTTCCCAAACTATATTTGTTACTAGTAATCCATCAAGCTTTCGCTGAAAGCGGACAAGGCAAGGCAAATGCCTATAGTAGTGCGTACCTTTTGATGTCCGCACACTGTTCCATCCTTAACCATACCAACAAGATCGCGCCCGCTACCTCTCTTTAGAGATGCTACCCTGCAAGCAAAATAGTTGCTAAAGTTTTAGCCTGAGAAAACAGACATTTCGCGAGCCACCAACGTTTTCCCCGACAAATGACGGCTAAGAAACGAGAGCAGCAATTCCATACTGATGACGCGTTACTACACAGATCTGGGTAGTGCTTCTGATTGGTTGTGCCGCTTGTGAAATTTTGAAAAAAGTCATTTCGCGGGGAAACCGGTTTGGTTGCGAAATGTCGTCTGTTTTCTCAGGCTACTACAGTTGCACTTGTTTCACCCCATGCGAGGTAAATAGATTCTAGACGGCCTATGATAGTCGATTCTTGGCCGTGGATTCTGGACTCCAGGTACTGGATTCCAGTCTTCCAGTCTTGGATTCCGGATTCCTAGGGTTTTGCATTTCACAAGCAAAAATTTCGCGGACTCCGAAATCCGGATTCTCTCACAAGGGCGTGCCTGTTGTTTTATGGTGTGAAGTAAGCTTTTGGCCTGTTAACTGTTTTAAAATTACCTGCACTTTTCTCCTGTTGTTAGGGTTTTTAGTTCGTAGAAACTACCATAATCTACCACAGGTCTCTCTTTTGAGCTGGAGCACTGCAGCTGTCCGCATTTGGCGTGTCTATTGAATTGAATTGAATTGAAAAAAATTAAAGGGGCTTGACAAGGAGAGGTAAATATGTGAAAAAAAGGAAAGAAAAGAAAGCTAAAAATGAGACGAAGGAAAACTCTTTTAAAAAATGCAGCAAACTTAACCGGGGATACCCAAGCTACATTATAATGATGTTAACGAGAAGGTTCTACTCATTGTTTGGGGCCGAAGAGCAGTTTAATACTAAACTGTCTGATACTTACTCTTTTGCACACAGTAGATTTGTCCGGCTACTGCAAGTACCAAATCCCTGGGCCTTGACGTTAAAATGTCGATAACAGGCTGTGTGAGCAGATGACGCCTCTAAAAAAGAGAAAATACAGGGAATATTTTGAAAACCAGACTCCAGTTATTAATAATAGTTGGTGAATCACCCGATCTTAATCTTAACTTTCGCACGGGCGTTAGTCCGAAAACGTTACTCATCAATCGATTTACATTTTTATCACGGGAGTTTCAAACAGTAAACTTAAAATTAGAGTAAAAAAAAATGACAAGCGATGCTTTAAAAGTACATCAAAACTCAGCTAAGGAAAGTGAATTTGGATAAATTTAGGTTTCTGGGAAACTGTTCACCTACCCCTCCCTTAAGCCAGCATTAACACTTTATTCTCATTTAGGGCAAAATTTTGGCGTAGGGGAGGGGTAGGTGGGCAGTTTCCCAGAAACCTTAATTGATCAGTGATTTTTATACCTGGTCCCCACAGATCGCGACAATGAGTATCTGCTGAAGGAACACACTCCCCCCTGTAGCAAAACGCCTGTAAGATCAATGAATATGGTGTTTCAAAGACTCTCAGTAACAAGATGTACTTACCATTAGTCATTGAGCTCAACATTTCCCATCTTTCTCTACTTATCACGCAACAAGATATTTGACATTGCAGGTCTTAGCAATATTAAGCAGGACGTATATATTGGCAACACCATTATCGACAATTTCTCAAAATAAATGTATGATCAAAATGCAGAACTGTTGGTTACATTATCCACTTATTTTAAGAACAACTACTAAGCATCTTAATCCTTGAAGTTGATTGAAAAAAATATACGTGTGTTTTCCTTACAGCGACACGAGGCTTGCTTGACCACACCGTCCACTGTTGACCATCCAGACTGTAGTGCAGAGAGTAACCTGTTACGTCACCATGATCAGTGCCGCTTAGAATGACAGCCGATATCTTCTTAGCCTATAATAAAGACAGAATGAAATCAGGCTCTGTTGAACCGATGAATAAAGGAATTCAGCAGGAGATGAATATAAGAAGATAAAAGGTCATCGATAACGGTTAGTGAGTGGTTAGTTAGTAAGTAAGTGGTAAAACTTTGTCTCCACAGCGCTAATTGATCTCTTGAGGAACACCAACTTTTCTTTGCCGGGGGGGGGGGGGGGGGTGCGGGGGGGGGGGGGGGAGGAAGGGGAATGTACATCTACCCTGCAACATTGCAGCAAAACGAGTTGAATAGCGTTATTGACCTTTTGAACAGCCACAAATCAAACCTGTTATGCGCGTTTTACCGTAGCTTAAGAGAGCAAGTAGGAGATGGTTGCTTAAAGGAAATGATCCTCAAAATGAGAGTAAATGATTATTTACCTGCCCCAAGTCAACCTGGATAAACTGCTTCTTATCTTTTCTTGCTGCACACCAACCCTTTAAGCTGTGTAACCTAGCTTCTTTGGCTTGGTAGCCTTGCAAATGACTTGAAGCTGAGATGCGACTATCGGGAATAACGCTGCGGTCAGCCACGCCGAGAGAAGCCAGGCAATCTAATGAAAAATGGGAATATAGTGTAACTGCTTTTAGGGTTTTCGTGTTTATTTCATAAATGCTGTTGTATCACTTAAATTGCTTTTACTCAATGCCTGTAGCCTGCGGAGCAAGCGTTTTCCCGCCAATTCGGGACGCATCCGCACGTTAAGAATGCGGTTTTAACAACAGCAGTTTCTTTAGTAACTGAACTGACGAATTCAGGTCTCGAAAAATTCTTGAAATTCTTGAGAAATATCAGACTACATGACAGTCGCCAGCTCTTCGATGAATTGCACCTTGACAACGATGCCAAATTAACATAATATGTTGACGATGAAAATTTTATTGCTGTTCCTTTCGGCACTGCTTAGACGGCCAACTATTGAAGTATTTGCGAACGCTTGCAAGGGGGAGATTTAATCACTAGGAGGACGAGACGATTTGGCCATTGGTTTTGGTTATCATCCAATAATTAATAAGAGCTCACATTGCGTAGTATATTGATACCACAAAATGGAAACTACCGGATTATATTCAAAAGAAATCCTATCACACAAACTTGAGTAAGCAATATCAACCAATACTTAATGTATCCTTACCATGCGCTAAAAAATTTAAAGTGAGTCTGTCTAGATCACATCCGGCCCACAAAACAAGTCTTACTCCATCATATGCCACGCCTCCTTCTGGATGGACACACAATCCGCTGGCCACATGTCGAAGAGATTTACCTGATATTAAATAACAATAACTAAATTGTGCAATGATGAGTTAGCAAATGTTTTTGACCCCGATAAAGCTTGTTCACGGGGTATAGCACGTAATTATGGTTGCCATTGGCAACAATAGTCTCGTAAGCATTGCTTAAGATTTTCTTTTTATGGGCGATTTTTGCTGTTGTACTTGGGAGGTGCCCTGCATGGGACTTCAGGTCCCGTTCTCACCTTACCTTTTGATCTTTTGGTTTCTATTTATTGAGAGAGATTTAGACCAATAAATCTAAGGAGGAGTCTGTGGGCTCCTTCGCTGACAAAATGAAACAATAAAAATAAAATATATTTGAAGTTCTTGTAGTTCACGTGACTTAACGACGTCACTGGACGTGGGAACTACGCCGTGACCACAAAGGGCATTCAATTTTTCAATTTACCTTGTTGAAACAAACTCATCTTACATCATATTAAAACAGTTCAATACATAGACACGAACGGGAAATGACTTAATATAGTAAACACATGAATGTTTTGCACACGGTGTATATGTATGGTGTGTAAATGTACCTTTCGTTCTTTCAAACTTGGCTTGGCTCTCTTCACAACTGTCACTTATAACAAGCGGAGCTCCATAATAAACTCCCTTAGGGCATATCTTCTTCCCACTACAATGTTGCTTCAGCACTCCATTTGAAAAAGTAAATTTAGCTGACGTGTCTCGGTACGATGCTTGCGCAGAATAGAACAGCTGTGTTCCATTATTGGTTAAACAGGATGATCCACCTTGTGATGTAACGCATAGGTTGTCATAGCCCTGAATAGATGTGGGAGCCGCCGGAGATACTGGAATTAGAGAATAAGGGTTGATTATTTCATTCATTCATCATCATTATTATTTAATTATATTACACTTTATTTTTTAACTACCATTGAAATACCTTTATTGTGATATATCATACGTGATAGTAACATGTTATCTTCACACGTAAATAGATCACCGTTGCTATAGTTACATTATAAATCGCGCTTTTTTGCGGCAGAAAAGAAATAAAGTTAGATGTTTTAGTATTTCAAAGGTGTTTTATTCAACAAAAAGAACACTGCATGACTTTTTGGAGATAAGAAAGTGCTCTTCTTACGAGTGAGTGCAATCAATGATTAATCTCGAATTTCCAAGCAGACATGTTGTTTGCCTTACGTCATTTTGTAAAAGTTTCGTAGAAATACAGACGGGTGCAATCACTAAATGACGTAACACAAAACCAACAACACAACACAGCACAACACAACACAACAATAATGGTTTCTGTAAAAATCATTCAATTGTTTGCTCCACACCAGAAGCTAAGTTAGTTTCAAGTAGGCACTTTATTCAAGTGTACTTGAAAATCTTAAGTCTCTCTGTTGAAAACATGGCTTAACACTTCAAGTATATTACTTGCAGTGCAAGCTGTCAATCATTTTGTGGGTAAAATCAGACCACGCATATCAAAAAGCGATTGCTCGCCACTAAATCATTTTCGTATTTATTAATTTTTTCGTTACTTTTAACTCAAAGGGTTTTCACCCTACAAGTCCTGCTTGCGCAATTCATTTTCTACGTAGCAACGGCCAAACAACAACAACAACAACAACAACAATAACAACAAGCGAAGTCGTCTTCTGTGTTTCTCTAGAATGGCTCAACAACGCGCGCTTTTCGGCAAAGAAATAGCCGTAGGGCTTGGGCTTGGCGTCGTCCGCAATGCCCTTAGCTAACTGAGGTCTGGATTGGAATGTTTATATGTCCGCTCGTTAGAATCTTGGAACCTCTGCACGTGCACATCGTGCACATTGCTTTTAGATGGCTTCCATTTCCTATTGGTCAAGTGTATGCTCAAGTGTGGTGTAGATCATACCTTGCGCGAACTTCAGCCTCTTTGAACTACGAACATTTCCATGGCCACCAAGTAAAGTTTGTGTCGGAGTACAATTTACCCCTATCACCCTTAAAGTACGTTCCAAGTACGCGTAGATTAGACTTGAATTCTCTAGTGTGAAGCCAACAAATGATTTGATTATAATTGGGAGAGTGATGCTTTAGAGTTTAATGTAGATTTAAGCAAATGCTACTTTACTTTTTCGGTTACCTGAAGGTCCTTTTCCACATCCAAGTAAGTCAATTTTAGTACAGAGGCCTCTCTCCCAATATTGAGGACTAATTCTGACGTGCCTGGCCGTGATTGGCCGAGAAAGTTTCGTCATTTTCACATTCCCAACATACTTTCCTAACAGTAGCTGAAAGAAAAAAATGAGTAAAAAAGAACCGACCGATTCAATTTTCGTTATTGTAGTGTTCTTTCCCTCCTTTTTTCTTATCATCTGTTCATCTGTTTCAAAATTGTTGTTTCAAACAAATAACGGTGTTTTTGCCATTCAGAAGACCAAAATGCATTATTTCATTTCTTGTTCTAATTACTTTTCAGTGATTTGCTAAATACATACACTGGTATATCACTCGAAAATTGGAGAAGCTTGTAAAATCTGTCAAAGGGAAACAAAAATACAGTAACAATAGCTAAGATGAGTTCTGGAATGACACACACTAAGCAAATATTAAATACATACCTCTCCCTCCCCCTCACATGTGCGTCCATCTTTTATATGATCATCTGATGGACACTGAAAAAAAGGACGGACATAGTCAGTCATGTAACACAGTCTTTTCAATTCTCTTCCATAGCTTTCCATCTTTCCTTTTTTTGTTAACATCATTTGTTTTAGAATAACATTCTCTGGTACTTTAACGCTTCAGTTCCTTCCAACTCTAACAATAGACAATAGACAAAAAAACCCGGCATAGTCAGTCCTTTTCAATTCTCTTCCATCTTTCCTTTTTTTGTTAACATCATTTGTTTTAGAATAACCTTATCTGGCACTTCAACGCTTCAGTCCCTTCCAACTCTGACAATAGTCTTTGAAACCCTTTTACCTTAGTTTGCAAAACTGTAGCATAACATGATACAGAGAATATATGGGCCCACGAATGGAACAATAAGTGTGTCTGTTCGAATAAAGACTTATAAAAGTTGCTTTTTGCATTTTTGTGTGACCACGCGTTTCATTCGACATATTTATTTTCTTTTTCCTGTTACCAGTTCCACTAACAGCTGCACTGCTCCACTATTCGAGATAAAAACTACCTCCAACCCCCAATCCCTTGAATCAATATTAAGAAGGGCTAACGCCAGGAGCCGGCGAAAGATGCAGTCCGCGAACTGTAACAGCATACTTTTGACTTCATCAAAATAAACTGTAGCTTAATGCAGTGTGCTCCTTTGTGGACTTAGTAAAAAGCTCCAAAGTTTTCTAGAGGCGATTTAATCAGTACAATAAGGTAACGAAAGAGATGGATTTTCAATATCTATTTAACCCGCTGTCGAGGGCCTGGAGCGGCTTGTTTTTGGTAAAACTTATGACTGTCAACATTACAACGAAACTTGAAGACGTCACATGAGTGTATCTACGTTTTCTTTTGCTACTAGACTTTAAGAAGATGTTTTTAACCCAATTAGAATATCAGAAATGAGAACTATCATCCGATAAAATTTCGAGGCTGGGTACCGTCATAATTGCCAGTGATTTCAGATCGCGCGTCTGTGGCTCAACGTGTGACGTATATCATAGCTCTGCTCTGATTAGATATTACCTAGAAGGAGTGAAAAAAATTCCGCGAAAGCTGTTTCCTAAAAGAAATTTTAACAAGAAAGAGTTGACTCTAAGGGCTTATATGGGAGATAAAGGCCCTGAGTAATCAGCTCCTGCTAACGCTCGAAACGTCAGGGTCGTAAAATGACTTTACTAACTCGCGATCGATGGACCAAATATTTGTTAACTGGGAACGAGTTTTCCCCATAAAGTGAAAGTGTCAACAACTCTGAGTTCAAGTAATATAATTGTATAAGCTCTGGTCATAGAGGGTCTCTAAATCTACCCGTACAATTGGTGCCATTTTTTTATATATCAAGTAAAATTTGATAAATTTCCTTGCCATAAACGGATTCCAACTTCAAGGCTGGATTAAGTCTTACCTCCGCAGACCTTCCAGAACAAACTTCTTCAACATCGCACTCTCCACTACTCTTACGGCACAAAGTTCCACGTGGAGAGAACTAAGGAAAAGGAAAAAAAAAGGTTCTTAGGCAATTTAAAAGAAGTGTTGATGCTGAGCGATGTCCTTATCACAATTGCCTCATGTAGCATCATGAGAGTCGATCGATGCTGTGCCATTAGGCTATAATGACATACCAGATATGAAAATAGTGACAGTTACAATCAGATGTGGCTTTTAAGGCAGTGCAAAACCACACAAATAATCTTAAATGCTGTAGACTTTCAAAGATAATCCAAACAAACCCTATTCCAACAATTAAACGAATTCTGTCGGACTGACTGACAATTCCAGCACGACCCATAAGTAATTATCGTTTATAATCATTTCAATCGTTAGAGTGAATGACTTATCATTATCGTCGTCATCATCATCACAAAAATTGATATGATATGAACTTAAATCAATCAACTCTTTCTTAATTAGTAAAGGTGATATCTTGAGCCCTGTTGCTCTTGATTAGTGTACTCTGCTTGAAACAAACTGTCACTCTAAAGTGGGCTGAATTTACAACCTTTCGCAATGTCCGCATAATTCCCTCTCAGGCGTCCCGTTTTTCGTTTGCCACTAACTTTTCCCTACAGAGCAATGCAGCTATTTGTTCTAGTGAATTAAAGTAGCTGTATACTGAAGTAAAATTTTCTCGTACTTGACATTTCTGACAGCATGTACTCATAGAGTCACTGCACTGGGAGGACTTCTTTAGGCGACAGTCGTTTGGCTCACAACAGGGATCTCGCACCTTGCAATCCTGCAATTAAACAACTCTATGTCAGTGATCGTGGGATTATTAAGCCAATCGAGTTGAAACAGGCTTATTTTAGTCAGAAATTCTCGTATTCATTTCTTTTGTTGTTACGCTTATTTCACCTCCTATAATTTCCATTGAAGAAAACTTTTCAATAAACCGTAAAAAATATAAACCCCAAGGTCCAGGAATATGGATTGTGATCATTGGGGGAATTTTTAGGCGGGTCACAAAATCCGGGCACCCCAACTATTGTCAGTTAACATCGGCTTAAGACTTAAGACGTCGGGTCCCTCGCACCTTCGTTCGGCGCTCACGCATAAGATCACTCAGTGGACTTTTGGCAACTCTAGGAGATTAAATACAGCAAAAATATTACAGGTGTGCAGTGCTTTTAACAAATATTTAAATATACCTCTGTTGTACCGCAGTCGCACTCTTCTCCAAGCTCCAGAATGCCATTTCCGCATCGCGGATTTACTACCTAAAAATATTAACAAACTCAGGTGCTTATGCCCTTAAGTAAAGGGCTGGACCTATTAGTAGTCCGATCCTCCATGCTTAGCAAGAAAGTGTTATTTAACTACGAAACTTCTACAAGGGTACTTCCGCTTGATTGAAATTCGTCTGATCCGGTTCACTTAAAACCCTCAGAGAAAAACGGGTCGTGACTTGTTTAAATAGGCTATTTTTTTGAGATCTTTTTTACTCATTCTTTTCTATTTTCAACATATCGTAAGGACCTCGGTTTAGAAACTGCGCAGATTGCACCAACTGACTATTTTTACCGAACTGTGATCACACAGGGTATGACAAGAGTCATAAAATTTTGCTGGCCTTACAAGTCCTTCGTCCACTAGCACGTATGCAGATCGGAGCTATTAAAAATGAAAATCGAAGGAAGAGCATCACCTTAATTTTCATTGATACCCTAATCGCCTACTCAGATGTCCTCGTTTTCGAAGTGCATAGTACTGGATCACGATCATCACTTGCAACGTAGGAAAGAGCTACACACGAGTTTTTATACTCGGAACTTGCGCTCGATGTTTTACCTTCTTAGGCAGGTTGTAAAGACAACTGTCATCAATGGAAGACATGTTCTGTAAGTTACAGTCCGAGAACCCAGGGACACGAGTCCTTTGTAAGATAAAGAAAAATATATTAGTCTCCATGAAAATCTCTTAATACGGTCTAGAACGTTCTGTCATAACTGATCAGCAAGCCCGAAGTCGCCCCATAAGATGATCGTGGACAGTCTTGTATTCTCGATTCCACACAGTGGATTCCGCATTCCTTGTCAGCAGATTCCGGATTGTGGCTGTTCGCGAGAGTCCGGATCCCTTGGACTGAATTCCAGATTCCAAAACCCAGGATTTTAGTTTTCACAAGCAAACATTTCCCAGATAGCTGGTCATTTCGCGCTCGGCAAACAAAACCGCCAGATGTGCATAACCGCTCCTTACTCCACTAAGGGGAGTCAAAGACTTCCGTACTGAACCGTACTCTGCATACAAGAGTACGTTGACCTAACCCTTAAGCAGCATTACAGATAGAAGCTAGAAAAATGTTCGCACTAATGTAAGAACGGCGACACTCACTTGAAACTTCCCATGACACAACCACGAGGAGATAGACACTTGCAACTCGGCCAAACTGTAATTATAGAGGGAGTAACAGCTATTCAGTAGGAATGTAGAGTTTCACAAGACTTCATGCTATTTCTTTTAATTCCATGAGTCATTCTAGTGGCCAAAATACGAAAGTAAGATATAAGTTATGCAAGGTTTTAGCAAATAGAGCCAAAGAAAAAACGTTTCGAGACGCTGCCAATGCGTCAGACACGATAACAGCTAAACAACCTTATGGCATGGGTGTTATCCTTTCCTTCTAGAAGATATATTCTACCCTTGTTATTCAAGTACTTATTGTAAACATATATATACATTTTTTTGTGCTAGCCATAAATTAAAGTCCCGACAGTGACCAACTTCAATTTTCCCCAGTTTCTCTTGCGACTAAGAGAAATAAATGATTTTGATGATGATGATGATTACGATGATGATGATGATGATGATGATGATGATGATGATGAAGATGACTACGACTATGAATAATGATGAAGTCGTGATAATGATAGTCGTATCGCATATCAGACATTTTTTCAACTAAATCGTCCTGAACAACTGAATGGTAAAACAGCTTTAAAATGACTATACATACTATTGTCGTGGTCGAAGTTTAAGTTATGTCCTAGTTCGTGAGAAAGAGCCAGCCAAGGACCAAGTGATCCCCAGTAGTTCCACTGGCAACCAAAAACAGAAAAGACGTTAATTAAAACTTGAACAAAGACGAGAACGTTATTACGCCGAGAAAGGTTATTATGTAGGAGCCACAGCGCTAGCTAGAATATTAAAGTCTATGAATACAGCCCAAGCCTGTCTCGAAAACTAGACAAATCTATTTTCGATCGTCAAAAAGACTTGCTCAAGGAGACAGAATTGTGTAGGTACAGTATATGTGTGCAATATTTGCGCAACCCCAGCAAAAAGCCTGTATTGTATACTTCACACAAATTAAGGAAGTTTCGGAACAATTCTTGACTTACCGCGTCAACACCGAGGGATCTTCTAGTACATATTTCTCCTCTATACGCCATCCCTCCAAAATCGTCCCACATTTTACCCCTGAGATGAGAATCACCAAGTTATATTGAGAGATGTGAGATGCGAGCTATGTTCAAACTTTACTGGATAGCTTTTGTGCCGGAACGAAAATCATACCGGATATAGGGCTACTGTTCACACACAAGAACGGTTATTTCGGCGCGATTTCTGTAACGGAGCGAATCTGCGACGCACCGACCTCTCAAGTGGAGAGTCACGCTACCAGGGCTGTCAACTCTCCCGGATAATCCGGGAGACTCCAGATTTTGAACCGTTTGTCTCGGTTTCCAGATTAGAGTCTGGAATCTCTCGGATAATTGCCGAAGTTTGCAATTTCTTGTAGAATAGACTCTCTGAAAATGAAAATTTCAAAATTGCGTTGTTGAGCTATTTTACTGTTAACAACGAACGTTTCCTCACTAACTCTGGTATGCCATTGTAATATAAGCAATAATGTGATTGGTGGGAAGTAAGCTAATTTGGTCAAATGTTACAATTCCAACAACATCTTTTTCCCGCGTTTTTTCCCCACAAATGACGTCATGTGCCATTTGCATTATGACGTCATTTATCATCCCTATTGCATAAATTCTCAATATTTGAAGACGTGGGGGGTTGACCGCCCTGCACTGTATCGGATAGGTGTTCATACTACGCCGGATATCTTTTCGTGTCGGCACATGGTTGCGAACATGGTCGCCCCATGTAAAGGAATCTAAGATAGTCTTGGATTCTGGATTGCACGCCGTGGATTCCCGCGAGTTCCAGGTACTTGATTCCAATCTTTGTCAGCGGAACTTGGATTCTGGATTCCAATCCTTAGTAAGTTTCCGGATTCCTTGAGCTGTATTCCGGATTCCAAAGCCCAGGATTCCGGAAACCACATGCAAATATTTCCAGATTCCGGAATCTGGATTCCCTTACATGGGGCGAACATAGCCTGCCTAGCGGAACAAACTTGACCAAGCAATTCCGATCCAGTAACGTTTTTTATTTTTGTTTATTTATTTATTTATTTTTTTTGAGAAAAGCGTCGCCGTGATTTAGATGTAAGTATCAGTCTTTCCCTCATGAATTTAAACTATTTTTCTGACCTTAGTAAATGGATACTGTCGTATTTGATGCCAGCAAGATTGCTTGAACGGTGATTTTTGAAGTTCCTCAAATCTTCGCCTGCTTGCTTCACAAATGGTACGTGATCTTTGTCCGTCCATATCTCCAAAGCCGATAAAACCACTCGGATGTTTATCTTGCGGTATATCTAAAGATGGCGAGCAGTAAAAACAAAAAAACAAAAACAAAAGAAAAAAAGAGAAATAAACAAACAAAAAACAACAAAAACAAATTATAAAAAAATATTCTTCAACGCCAACAATTTGCTGAAAGTTTAGCTTTCGGAACCCGACCGGATCCCTTTATCAATGATGACGTTTCCTGTTATTCGCAGCCTCGTTTTGATGAGGCCTCGATTATAACCTATCACTTACAAACTTGAGTTACAAATCTCAGGCTTTAATATATAATCTCGACCCTGTTACGAGAGATTGCAGGGGTTGACACATTGATACTATGATTCTAAGCCATACTATCAGATTTAAATGCATTCGTGAAACACTGATTTCTTCAGTTCACAGATGTATTCATACAATTCAGTTTTAAAGAGTTATTGAATTATGCTTAACCTACCACATCTACCGCGTTTACAAGGGTAAAAACTCTTCGTTTTACCTCCGCAATACTTCGCTGGTACTTCTTGTACTAAAAGTGATAAAAGAACTTTTGTCCAGGTTTGAACGCAGGGGACAAAATTAACACAATTAACGATATTTCATAAAGACTTCTGTGAATCTTGCAAAATTTTTCTCCCCTTGAAAAGGTGAGCAAAGCCGTGCTGCCGATTCTACAAATTCATCGCAAATTGCAAAGTTTACAAATTTAACGATTTTTGATAACGGCTTGGATCACACCAGTCAGGCGAGACATAATTTTGCAGGAACCCCAGCAAGAAGCTGGGTACGAGTTCCTCATACTTTGTCCCAGTCTCCCCGGCTAGCGCCTGGCAGATTTCAACATGTGATAGCTCGAAACGGCACCCACTGTGACCTTTGCTGCATACAGGGTGTTTACTGTCTTCTTTCAAAGCCGGAGGAGAGAAAGATGCTCAGCGCAATAAACGTAAGTAATTTCGGTATGCGCGTATAATGTACATTCTCGGCAGCAATATCGCTAATGTTAAAAAGCAATATTTATTTGTATTTATATCTTTGAAATTGTATCTTTTCGTCCTCATTTACCGTTATTGGGTTAAACAACATGCTGACAAAAAAAAAAAAAACATTTTATGAAAATTGCTGATTAACAGTCAAAAGTAACATTCTCGCTTAATGTTATGACATAGTAACAGGTGGCCAGGTACATGCATTTTTGCCATTAGGGACTTGTCAGAAATTAGCAGGGGGGGAGGGGAGGTGGGAATTTTAAATTTGGGTCCGGAAATTAGGTGACCCATCCCTGCAATGGGAGTGAAATTTGCTAACCCTCCCCTTGAGCTTGGCCTAAAATATCATGACCCTCCCCACCTTACAGAATTGAAAGAAAAATGTTCCAGGCTCTTTAGGGTGTAGTATTCCAAGCCAACAAGAAAAAAGAGGAAGGAAACAAAAACAAAATAAAAGGAAAGCAAAAAAAAAAAAAAGCTAGGGCAAAAAGATTGGAAGCTAACTGCAAAAGAGTTATTGAAACCATTGCATCTCAGCGGAGTCGCATGATGTTGAATACAGAGCCTATTGGCTCATAATCTCTTCATTATGAATTAATAAGTGGGCTCTGCCTCAAAGCACAAAGGCCATATATCCAATATGCCTTTGAGAAGGGATTGTTTATCAATGAATCACAGGAAATTATCATGCAATATCTACGCTTCAACTTAAATGAAAATCATGATAGTGATGAAAGTGATTGTATCAATGCGAAGCCAATAAAATAAATAAAATGCTGATGACATAAATGATGATGATCAAAATGCTCACAGCAGCACTAATGGTGATGCTGAAGACAGTGATGAAAAGGAAAGCCAAAACTCTAGTAACATTAACAACATTATTCATAATTGCAATAAGACTCTATAGCATTGTTATAAATGAAAAGTAGATGTTTGTTAAATTCTTGCAATACTACGTCATAGTTAATATCCATAATGTTCCGTTGTTCTTTTTTTTTGTTCTTTTTTTTTCTTTTAACAGATAAAGAACTTCCTTTTTCTTCTGTGGGTGAACCTCTACATGATCACGGGCATATATTTGCATGACCCTCCCCCTTTTAACGGCCCATTTTTTATGACCCCTCCCTTTTCTGAGTCTCAAAAAGTTGTGACCCTCCCTCTGTTTCCACCCCCCCTCCCCCCCTGCTAATTTCTGACAAGTCCCTTATCACTGGTTTTCAGGTGATGTCATGGTGGCTGTGTATGCTGGTGTACAAGAACAAAATTGCTTTCTCTCCACTTAAAACTCCTCAATGGAACATGTTAACTGATTGATTCAGTTTTCATTGACAGCTTTCATCAACTCATTTGCTTTTGTCCCTCCATTTTATTACTGTTGGCCTTGTGAATTTTTGTAATTATTGCAGATGATTTTTATAAATTTCAAAGCTGTTCGCAATCCTGGATGCATCAGTACTGGATTTTTTTTGTAACCAGAATTCCTTAAACTGCCGTTTATAAGCCTTGGGTTGCTTAGTAAGAGGTTTTAGGAGCGTTTCTAAATGGAGGGGCTTATATCCCAGGGGCTTATATCCCAGGGGCTTATAACTGGAATGCGAGGCCACTATAGGGGTGCTTGTGGAAATATGTTTTGCATTTACTGGTTAAAAGTTACAAAGACAAAACGTAATAATAAATCAAATTCATTTGAATACATTTCAATACATTTCACGTGTCTGGGGGGCAGGGGTGGCTTGTAATCGGATGTATTTTTTTTGTTTACAGGCAGACAGGCCTGTTTGTTTAATTGTTTAATTTTTTTTCACTTACCACCACATTGTCAACAATAATCATTAATTCCACATATTGGGTTTTTTTGGTTGTTAGATATTTCTTGTATATGGTTTCTTCTGCCTCTCTTTTATTCTTAAAAAAAAGTAATAAAAAGGAACAAGTTAAGAATTAGTTTCAAGAACTCTGAACAGTTATGTTCATAATCATCATCATCATCGTCCAGCTTATCATCTTTATCATAATCATCATCAAAACTTGATATGATCAACTCTCCACAACTGCAATAGCTGTTGAAAGTATGGATCCTTTATTTGTTGTTTAGGTATTCAAGGATCAATGTTCCTGACCAAATCAATATATTTTTCCATGCAAATTTTTGTTATCATTAGAGTGAATTCATACAACTTGTTTCTTATATGCTTAAATGTGGCACACAATATCGTTATGACCAGCTTTTGTACTCACAGGCACCTCCCAATTCATGCTGGAATGTACTGCACTTTTCAAGAACAAATGGTAGCTCAATTCTGAACCAAGAAAAATCTGTATGAGGCAAAAGGAGGACTTTTAAATATACTTGCCTTTTTGCTGATTTTTGTGATCTTTTCAGTTACCACAACTGGATGAAATTGTGGCATCAGTTGTTTGACAATTTCAGTTAGTGAGGAGAAATCCAACAGTTGAGACGTGCTTTTTGGTATCAAGACATGCACATTTATTTGGAAGAAACACAGGTGAAACTCTGGCATCCGTTGTAAAATTAGCAAACCAACATGATTTCAACTCTCTTTCAATTAAGAATTTGTAGCAGTGGCTTCAGTTTGGTGCGTGCCTTCTCAATTTTTCTTCTCATTAGCATTTAGTGATTTTCATAAGTATATATAAGAAACAGGTTATATGACTTCACACTTATTATCATTATCATTGGCTTTAGCATTGGCATTATCATTATCATTATCATTATAATTATCATGAAGGCCAATAAAGCCAATAAAATTAGGATGAAAAGAAGAGAAAATGTGGCTTCATGTACAGTGTACTTGATTTCCCAAATATGCACTTAATTGCTTCTTGTTGGATGACCATTGGCTCAGAGTTGCCAATCTATACTCACTAGTTGAGTGAGACTGGCCAAAAGAGCAGCAGAGCATGGTCAAAAATCAATACCGTAAACTTCTGCTTATAAGCCTTAGGCTTATTCAACTTCGTGAGGGGTTTAAGGAGGGCTTACAAACAGAAAGGCCTATATCCAGGGCAGCTTATACCCAGAGTAAAAAAAGCATTTCAAAACAAGCTACATAGCTTTTCTGATCAATACTGTAAAAAAATAATTTATTTCAGACCAAGCCTGTGGGGGGAGGGGGAGGAGGGGTGTGGAGGGGGCACCTGGCTCTTATCCGGTGGGAGGGGGTGGCTTATAACCGGATGTATCTTTTTGTTGTCAAGTAGATGGGCCTATAACTAGGGGGCCTGTAAGAGGGATGGGGGGCCTATAAGCAGAATTTTACAGTATATTGTTCATAAAAGTTTCTAGGCTTACCCTGGAGGAAGATGCCTGGGTGCCACTTGCTTCTTCTGTTGGTATTTCTTCTGGACTAATCATTCCTTGTTAAAAATATATTTTTTATCAGGCAAAAGTCTACGTAGAGACTTCTCTGATATTCTGGTATTTTAAAAGCTTACAATTTGGAAGATTTGCATTTAAAGAGCAGTTTCTGTTAATTTTGCTTACCACATGAAAATCTTTTCTCCTTTTCATAATTTGTTTTTTAAATCTTGTGTGCTCCCTTGCCCTATAATGCAATGAATTAATCATGCATTAATTTTGAAACAAGTTTTATTGGGATGCTCCAATTTAATGCAATGATTTCAAATGGAAACCTTAGTGGGATATGGTTCGATGTACATTTGTCCTTCTTCATCTTTGATCATGCCACTAAAGAAATTGAAAAAGAAATATAAATATTTAAAATTTAGGTTAGGAAGGAAATGAACCACATGTAAATGCAAATATTTAGGTATTTTATTACCTCAATCCATAACAGGTATCATTAATCAAGGATAACTGTCGACCCCATCTCTTGTCCTATCACGTAACCTTGGTAGTGACAATTAGTTGGAGCTACCTGTTATTTGACATAAAAAAAAAAAAAAAAAAAAAAAAAAAAAAAAAAATAAAAAAAAAAAAAAAAAAAAAATAATTAAATATTTATTAAATTTTTAATTTAATTACTTCAAAAAATTTTAATTAATAATATAAAAATAATTTTCACATATTTCCATATCA